CTCATCTCCAGTTTCCAGGGGGGTTACCTGTGTGGTGTCCGTCTGACTGTTGTAGTTGTGTGTGTTGGTAAAAATGACAAGCTCATCCCCATATTCAGGTGTAGGCATAGGTATCAGTAGTGGCAGATCAGTAGTTCCACATGTGCTAGCAGGGATGGCTAGCTCCTCCACAACTAGTGTGTGTGATGGCATTCTGGTATCACCAGAATCCTTTGCAGTGAGGTTGGGTTCTTCCGTACTTTGCAGAGGTTCAGTCTCAGCTCTGGCTATGGTAGACTGGATGGCCTCATCCTCAGTTACCATTAAAGGACTGTTATCAGGTTTATGTCGAAGGTTGTTTGGGTTCTGACTGTAGTCCTTGAGGGAAACTGTAACCCCAACTTCTTTACAGTTAATACACTTAAATTTTTGGCTGTCAAGGCCTACTGTGCATTCTCTAGTAGAATGTTTCCCAGCACACTTACCACACCAAGAATGTAGTATTTCACAGTCAACTGCAACATGGCCATAGTGCTGGCATTTGTAACACCTGCGTCGAGGGGGTAGGCACACTTTGATGTTTAGGAAACGTAGGCCAGGCACCCATATATTTCGAGGGAGGGGCACAGGGCCTACCCAACTGGCAATAATTTGGGATTTTCCTTTAAGTCTTTTAGGCTTGATGATATGCTCACTTAGAGTCAGATGGGATGAGTCCATGTAGAGAGGGTATCCAAAGATTATGATACTGACCCATTTTTTATAGTGGTGAGTGTCTGATGGAGGGCAGAGCAGCTTAATACCCCCATAAGGTGTACTAAGTAGATCAATGATCAGTTCTTCATTCTGTTCCACAAACACAAAGTTGTGTGTGTTTTTTCTAAATTGGATCCTTGAGTTAGGATGTTTCTTTACAGCTTCCATTAGCCATGCACACTTAGCAGGCAGCAGGGTGTTGTCAGGGAAGTTCAGTTTATCACATTCTTCCTTTGAAGAAAGACTTCTTGCACCCTCTGTGCACCAAAGGCACTTAGTTTCACATTGCCTATGAGTCAAGTGAGCCTGACTACGTCGGTGCTCTAACCCTTTCTCACTTTTTCTCCTTTGTTTACTTTTAAAGATCTGGAAGCTATCATCATTTCCATTACCTGCTGAAATAGGTTCCTCTATGACAGTTGCCATGTTTGCAGGTGATGCTATCTCATATAAGACTCACAACGCAAGAATTCCTCCCTTACCTTCCCCTTATAGCTTATGCAAGAGTAAGTCAGAAGTCTAAAACAGATCAAATGGCACAAGGGTTCAAGTTCAATGAACACTTCCAATTATACTTAACTCAGGTCACTACTACTTAATACGGATACACACCTCACTAAGAATACATTCAGAGGCTTCTTGTATGTGTGTTAATAATTTTTTTTTTTTTTTAACAAGTCGGCCGTCTCCCACCGAGGCAGGGTGACCCAAAAAAGGAAAGAAAATCCCCAAAAAGAAAATACTTTCATCATCATTCAACACTTTCACCTCACTCACACATAATCACTGTTTTTGCAGAGGTGCTCAGAACACAACAGTTTAGAAGCATATACGTTTAAAGATACACAACATATGTTGTTAATAATATGATACATATAATGGATGGTACAGGCAAGGTCTTACACCTAATCACAAATTACAAAGATGAAGAGAGAGGGAGAGAAAGTAGGTAATATTGATCATAAAATTAGAATTCTGACATATATCACATTAAACAAGAGGTTCAAATTCAATGATAACTTCCACTTGAGTCAGTTCAGGCTACTGCCACCATATATATCTACTGAAATAATAATATAGCGGACATCACAATAAATGCTGAGGACAACCTCTTACCCCAACTATAGATTGTAAACAATATTACTTCAGAAAAAAAAAATGGTAACTAGGTAATATTGCAATGACAATGAGATAAATCACTCTGGCCAACTTCCTTGGTCCATCCTGGGGAACTCACATGTTACTATATATGCTATGTATGTATGCATGCATAAGTGTGCAACTGTAGATAGATGAACCAGTACCTAAACAATCTCACTTACACATGCATTACTATGTATGACAAGTGTTACCAAGTACACACATTATCACTTAGAATACACTTGTGGTGATGTAAATATGGGTGAAAGTGGTACACCGCTGGCCGTGATAAAAACACTCTCAACTTCTTAAGGTCACACACTAGGCCCAGCTTCTGGAGAGGTACCAGTGTTTTAGTTTAATATGTTTATTATGTGTTAGTGCGAGTCTGCAGTCATTCACTTGGTGTGTCAGAAGTTGAACACTACAATCCAGTTGACCAAATAGTCTAAAACAATTTACACAATGTATAACTAGAAATATAATGATTGCAAATTGTTACTATTACAATTTTAACTAGGTGCTAAACCCACTAGATGAGATGGCAAGGAACATAGATGTTAACAGGCTGACTCTTGCTTAACACAGTTTAAAGGTAACCAAATTACTCAAGAGAGAATGTATTCATGAAACTGAACATTATGCAGGAGTAAGCTTGTTCACAGTAGAAATGCAAAGCATAAGTTACACATTCACACCACAGATGAACAGTGCAATTTGAAATAGTACTGGGAATTTAGCAGTAAAGTTTGTCTGAACGAGAAAATGTATTAGAAAACACAGCACTGACACTAGGACAAGCAACTTAATTATGTAACCGCATTTAATAGTACAGTTACACTGAGCAAAGCATATATTACACTGTGTTAATAAATGTAAGGAGTCACTACACTGAAATACACTTCGAGCCTTTTAAAGTCTTAATACAGGCTTACAAATGACAGTTAACTGTCTATAAAGTAAAACACTGTTGCGGATGGTCAGAAATAATCCTAGTGTAGCGGTGAAAGAAAGGTGCATGTCTTATAGTGCCAGTCTCAAGGTCACTCACCAGGAAGGAGGCATTCCTCACTCATATTAATTAGCCTACGTTGGTACTCATGCTCGCACAATATCCTAGGTCAGTGAAATGGACTCATGCAAATAGTTACAACAAACTTGCAGCACTTAACACTTCTAGCAAAAATAATAGACAAAATTCACTTGGTAAACTGTACTTTTGATTCCTTTATTTTTAATGTTTATTGTAACATAATTGTACATTGTGTGTACAGTGCTATATTAGGTGTACAGTAGAGTACTTAATTATTATTTAACACATCAGCCATTTCCCACCAAGGCAGGGTAGCTTGAAAAAAAAAAAAAATTTCATCAACCTTCACTCCATCACTGTCTTGCCAGAGGCATGCTTACACTACAGTTATAAAACTGCAACATTAACACCCCTCCTTCAGAGTGCCGGCACTGTACTTCCCATCTCCAGGAATTAAGTCCGGCCTACCGATTTTCCTGAATCTCTCCATAAATGTTACTTCAATGGTTATTTATGTCCTGCACTCTGAAGGAGGGGTGTTAATGTTGCAGTTTAAAAACTGTAGTGTAAAGCACCCTTCTGGCAAGACAGTGATGGAGTGAATGATGGTGAAAGTTTTTTTTTTTTTCGGGCCACACTGCCTTGGTGGGAATTGGCAAGTGTGTTAATGAAAAAAAAAATAATATTATTCCATAAAATGTTTAATTCATGTTAAGTGATAAACAAAGATAGACAAAGAACTTCGTCCTTGGAAGCAAAGAGGGGAATGTATGAAAGTAAAGTTTTACCAATGCTCTTATATGGGTGTGAAGCATGGTTGATGAATGTTGTAGCGAGGAGAAGGCTGGAGACAGTGGATATGTCATGTCTGAGAGCAATGTGTGGTGTGAATATAACGCAGAGAATTCGTAGTTTGGAAGTTAGGAGGAGGTGTGGGATTGCCAAAACTGTTGTCCAGAAGGCTGTGGAAGGGTTGTTGAGGTGGTTTGGACATGTAGAGAGAATGGAACGAAATAGAATGACTTCAAGAGTGTATAAATCTGTAGTGGAGGGAAGGCGGGGTAGGGGTCAGCCTAGGAAAGGTTGGAGGGAGGGGGGTAAAGGAGGTTTTGTGTGAAAGGGGCTTGGACTTCCAGCAAGCATGCGTGAGCGTATTCGATAGGAGTGAATGGAGACAAATGGTTTTTAATACTTGATGTGCTGTTGGAGTGTAAGCCTTTGTCTGTTGAGTGGGAGACAGATGAACACTAACTTTTTCATCCTTGTGTTTCAAAATATTGGAGTTTTTAGCAGACTGTGCAGAGCATATATTTGTTCTGGGAATTATTTATCAGCGAATGATGACTGGGTAAGGAGCACAGAAGCAGTATTGAATGTCTAGCACCATTATAAGAAAATATCAAGATGGTCAGATTTTTAGATATCAATAAGGATTTTTAATAATACAAAATTTTATGAAATACATTGGCAAACAGATGATCTTAACAGTGCAGGATAAGTCACTGTGACATGGCCTGGCGCTTTACTTCTGCTTCGCCTCAGAGATAATTTTTCCCCTACTATCTGTTGCTAGTTTTGCAAACATTGCATAGTAAGTCTGAAGGATCTTGAGCTAAAGATTTCCATTCCCATGTGGCTTTTTCTGCATAAATTTTTATGAAGTTATTCAGGGAAACCAGTTAACTGGACTTGAGTCCTGGAGGTGGAAAGGGCAGTGTCTGCACTCTGGAGGGGTGGAGATGTTGCGGTCAGAGGATACTCTGTAATGTCAGCACTTCTGGAAAGATGACAATTGAGTGAATGTTGGTGAATGTGCTTTCTTTGAATCATTGGTGACCCAGGAATAATAGAATGTTTCTGTTTTAAAGTAAAAGGTAAAGTATTACAGCATTTTACAATGTGAACAATATTACAACATGAACACCTTTATGTAAGTAAATTAACCAATTTTAATAAAGAATTATTTACTCTTTCACAGTCTCACTCTGTCGGTCTTTCTTGATTGATTAATGAAGTATAACAAAGCTTTGGTTAATGTATTCTCTAATTTTGGTGCAGCAAATTGTTTGTAACTAGCAGTGTTTGTTTACAGATTTCAGCAGTTTCTAGTGTGGTTGGGTTCACCACAACACTTAGCCCAGGACATTAAGGTTCAACAAGTGTGCTCAACAATAAATGAGTTTGCCCTGGAGTACAGGACCTGCCGAGAGCGTGTACTACAACAGACTCAGAAGAAGGCAAACCACCGCGAGAGAAATAAGACTCGCGGGAAGATGATCGTAGAGGTATGTATTGACAAATGTTTGTTTAAATTTGAAAAAGTACACATTGTACTTTTTCACACACCAGAGAGAAATAAAATATGACTTTAGTACCAGCCTTGGTATGTGGGTGTTGTGCTCTCGCATCAGTGACAAATTTCTCCCATTCTATATGGGACACTTATCCTCACTTTATTCTGCCCAGTGGGCACATAATTATAGGGGCTCGCAAAATCATAGTGACACGATTGCAAAGAAACCATACCACAGGTGGGGCTTGAACCCACAGTCAGAGAGTCATGAAACTTCAGACTGACGCATTATCCACTGGGCCAGCTGGCACCATTGATCAGCTTCATTTTTCCACTTTACGCATGTTTCACAAGTTTTGGCAAGAAGTTACTGACCATACCCCCGGCCAGGATTGAACCCACGGTCATAGTCTCAAAACTCCAGCCCGTTGCGTTAGCCACTAGACCAGCTAGCCACAATAAGATTCATCCAACTAGGTATATTTCTACACCATAGGAAGGTTAGCACAGGCACCTCTGTGACCACAAATGCAAGTTTTTACAGACGAATCTCCAGCTAGCATGGCCGTGACGAACTCTAGCTCAAGTCCCTTCACTGCCGTCAACATGACTCAAGAAATCGTAATGACACGATTGCAAACAAACCATACCCCCGGCCGAGATTGAACCCGCGGTCATAGAGTCTCAAAACTCCAGCCCATCGCGTTAGCCACTAGACCAGCTAGCCACAATAAGATTCATTACGATTTCTTGAGTCATGTTGACGGCAGTGAAGGGACTTGAGCTAGAGTTCGTCATGGCCACGCTAGCTGGAGATTCGTCTGTAAAAACTTGCATTTGTGGTCACAGAGGTGCCTGTGCTAACCTTCCTATGGTGTAGAAATATACCTAGTTGGATGAATCTTATTGTGGCTAGCTGGTCTAGTGGCTAACGCGACGGGCTGGAGTTTTGAGACTCTATGACCGCGGGTTCAATCCCGGCCGGGGGTATGGTTTGTTTGCAATCGTGTCATTACGATTACTTGAGTCAAGAAGTTACTGAACTCAGGTGAGGGAGTAGGTCTCCCAATTTGCTGGGGCTTTGGTATGGGCTCCAACTGACCTGACTCAGAATGTTTTGTTCCTGTTTCTGTTTGCAAAGGAAAGTCCTGTTCCCTTTCCTGTCATTGCCCAACTTTGGGCATTATTTCTTCCCTATACATCAGGAAGCAGAGCTTGATAAGTGAAAGCTGTGAGTGGCCCTTGAAACCCTCAACAAGAAGAAAACACATAAGACCGATGGAGAGATAATCACAGATTGATGCACATTTAAAGCTTAAGATTTATTACAGTCATCAGGAGGGTTGAAGGTGTTTTTGATTACTAGTTCTCAAATTTATTTCTCCACAACCCATTCACAATTTCTTTGTAGTGTAAATGATGGAGGTAATTGCCTAGCACCTCAGCAAATTTTGGTAGATATACAGTAGGGCCCCGCTTTATGGCATTTCGCTTTATGGAGTTCTGCTAATATGGTCATTTCAAATTATGACCTAAACGGCTCCCCTCACCTGACTTTCTAATACGGTCACCACACCCCACCCTGTTTGTTTACATTCTCCATGAGCTCCGTAAGCACCACGTCTCTGGAAACTCCAAAATTTCAAGTGTTTTTAAAAGTTATTTCATATTTTATTTATACTCTGATAATTATACTTATGTATACCTGTACCTAAATAAACTTACACACTGTGCTAGTGTGCAGGTACACATTAAAATCAGTAAGAGTATCTTATGTCTCAAGATGCCATATTAATGCTCAATAATAATCATTATGTCTCATTAAATGTCGTATATTACGTTAATATACACATTTTCATTAATCCATGTATGATATTTTTTCAAAATTATATAAACATGATACATAACGTATAAAGATGATAAATACACTCCACAGTAGAATAAATAAACATAAATATGAGATGTGGTATCCAGACGACTTATACGAGTGATGCCATATTAGTACGTAATGATAATAATAATAATCACAGAGTCTCATTAAATGTCATATATTACATTAATATACACATTTTTATTAATCCAGCTATGATTTTTTTTTTTCAAAATTATATAATAAACACGATACATAACATATAAAGATGATAAATACACCCCACAGTAGAATAAATAAAACGGAAGCCTGCAATTGTTTTACACGATGGTAGGATTGCTGGTGTCTTTTTATTGTCTCATACATATGCAAGATTTCAGGTACGTCTTGCTACTTCTACTTACACTTAGGTGACACTACACATACATGTACAAGCATATATATACACACCCCTCTGTTTTTTTTTCTATTTTCTTTCTAGTCCTTGTTCTTGTTTATTTCCTCATATCTCCATGGGGAAGTGGAACAGAATTCTTCCTCCGTAAGCCATGTGTGTTGTAAGAGGCGACTAAAATGCTGTTTAAATTACTAAATTTAAAAAGAGACACTTTCATTTTTCTTTTTGGGCCACTCTGCCTCGGTGTGATACTGCCGTTTTTTTTTTTTTTTTTTTTTTTTTTTAAATATGAGATGTGGTAGCCAGACAACATGTACAAGTAATGGCAAGAATAACATTTTCTCTAGTCCAACGTAAGAGAAAATGTGATACAGGGGGTAACTGTAGAAAATTATTCCTTTCGTATGCCTTCACTCAGTGCGTCATTTTTTCTAAAAAATGGTGTTAGACAAGATTACAATCGTCTTCACATCTCTACTGTTCCTGCCTACTTTCTGTATTCGACTGAAGATGCCTACTGTGTAGGCGAAACGTTTCGGAATAAAGTTGCCTAACTGTTGCCTATGTGTCTTACCTACCAAAAAATGATGTTACATGAGAATGGGAGTGTTCCTCTTTATTTATTCTACCGTATCAACGTAGAGACAACTTGTACACAATGTAACTTGTACACAAACCAGATGTGTACACTTTGTTTGTTTACATAACTCACGTTCGCCTGGTTTGTTTACTCCACGAGTGTCCTCTCTCAAGTACTCATTTTCTCTCAAATTCAAATTCAAAGTTTATTCTCTATAAGTATTACAATGCTGAGTTTACAGAATTTCGTTATTGTGTGGTTTACATGTAGTAAAATAATAATTACAGAGTGTACCACTAGAACACCTAGCATGGCTAGGCATTTCGGGCAGACTTATATTAAATCTTAAGTTTAAAATATTACAAAATTATGAGGTAAGTTGGTATTATGGCTAAGTGACTAAATACTAGTTGTGAGTTTAGCAATGTGAATGCTTTTGTTTTGGCACTATACATAGTTTCAGTATTGGAGTATCACAGGCCAACTTATGACTAGTTAAGATTCATTATTTTGAGATTGAGATTGATATTTCTGTTTATGGTCAAATGGGTGAGTGAGTGTAAGTGTGAACCACCAGGTGGTATTTGTATTATTAGTTGACAGGGTGTATCACTCTCTCTATCTCATTTGTTTTATTGCGTTTACTCACCTCTGACCCTACATTAAAACTACAAATATTTTAAGGTAAGTAATGAGTGAACTGTATATGCATTTTATTGCTCTGGGATGCTTAAATGTTATAGAATATTATGTGTGGATGGGGTGGCCTGCTATGGTAGCCCGGCTGGTTACCATACACACCACACTTGATTTCTTACAATAAATACTACTTGTCTCATCCTAGATTAAGGCTACAAATATATTAAGGTAAGTAATGAGTGTACTATATGTATATTTTACTTTATTATTGCTTTTTAATGCCTAGTTCTACTGCTAACCCCAATGAAAATAAGTCACACTGGCTGACTTTTTTGGGTTATCCTAGGTACTTTACACATATGCTGCTATGTATGATAATCTATGTAACTGCATTTGTGTATATCTGAAAAAGCTTACTTACTAACTTCATTTTTGTTAGTGTAAACTTGTTATCTAGTATTTGTATGCATTTATAAGTGGGAAAAAGAGGTGTTCCACTTTACAGCGATTTCCGCTGGAACTTAACCTGTCGTATAAGTGGGGCCCTACTGTATAGCATATCAAACCAAACATTTGTAAAAAAAAAAAAGCATTATAGACACAATCACTGAATCTCCGTCAATTTTACATTGGGTCACAACCCTGGGTTTGGTAGCCCCTGATGTAGACACATTGTAGTGAAATATAGTCGACCTCAATTAATAGCCTTGATAGAGACAAGACTAAAGGTTCGTGAATCTTGAAGCTGCAGATCATAGGATCATATCAACATACTGGTCATATCGGCATGCCATTGGCAAGACAGTGTAGTCAGTGATGATGAAATTGTTTCTTCTTTTTTGGGTTACCTTGCCTTGGTGGAAAATGGCTGATGTGTTAAAAAAAAAATTTACTGGTCATCTCCCACTGAGGCAGGGTGACTCAAAAAAAAAAAAATAAGTTTTTTGTCTTCTTTATTTATTTATTTATTAGAAATTTATTTAGAAATTTATACAAGAGAAAGAGCTACCATCCCCTTGTTTCCTTTTTGGCCATATCTAAGTAAATATTTATCCAGTCAACTTAAAGGAGGGGTTTGGGATATTGGCTATTTGGAGTGACATCTAAACTGTTATATGTGGGCACCTCAGCAAAGACAGTGATATGTGTGAATGATGGTGAAAGTGTTTTCTTCTTTGGGTCACCCTGCCTCGGTGGGAGACGACCGATGTGTTTAAACAAAATCAGTAAAAACTGGGGTGTCATCGCATCCCTTGCTAATATGCTTTCTTATTGATAATTACACTTAGAGTAATTATTAGATATGTAGTCTTTAAGCATTAATTTCATTTTTTATATAGTATATACTATTGAAGGGACTGTTAAAATATGGTAAGGCATCATTGTTTACTCAAAAATCCTCTTCAGAACAATGCTTCCACATTTCTCAAGATCTTTTTTAAGTAACAATTCAAACATTTTACCAATATCCAGGATTTCCTCAAGTAGCTCCTACAGTGTTAAGTA